TTCAAAATGTCTAAACTCGCGTGCAATCAAACACAATTAAAACACACTGAAAAATCAATATTGTAGCAATGCCGTTTCGTTTCCTCGCGATTTACTCGATCGTCGGATAAGCTTCTCTGTTTTTCTTGGCGCCTCGTCTTGTATGAATTTGACCATCCAAAAAATCAACGACTCGGCGTTCATGTCATCAAAGCCAGCGTTAGCATATCCTGGAATGACTCGCTGTTTTTGAAACTGAAACTGGTGGTCCCATTTATGGCTTTCTTGTTCGCACGGTCTTTTTGCCGGTCGCAAAATAAGGTTGCGGACCATTTTGTTGAATACTTTGTGGAACACTCCCCCGAACAATAGCGCTTTCCTTTATGTTTAGTTTTAGGTCTCCTAAATCGACTCGACATGTCTTCGAGGGAGAAATGGAAGCCAACTGACTTAATTTTTGCTAACTATGAATGCCTAATATCTTGCAATTCCTTTGACAATTCTAATTTTCCATAGTTTGGCAAGCACATTCTTTAAAAAAAAACAATAGGAAAATAAACAATTTTCAGGAGTAAGTATAAAAAGTTTCTAATGTGACAATTCCACTTTCAATTAATCATTTAGAAATTCCCTTGATAGTTCAGTCGTTTCATGAAGGCGCCATACAAACAGTTATATTTGACGCTCGGATCTTTATCACCCGATACAACACGCTCTCTCGTTCTGTATACATTACATGTACCACGTGGCCCATTAAAGTCACATGACCCGCAACCTCTCCAACCATTGAAATGCGATAGAAAGGATAAAATCTAGCTGCGCGATCCTGATCAACCTTTATGGTCATGAAGTCTGGCAGGCAAGCCGAGGGCAGTAAACGAGACACCAAACTGCGCATTGTTGTATAAAAACCTATGAGAATCGATATCAATAATTTAGCCCCTTTATTTAGCCTTTCGTGTATTTACAAGTCTGACAAATAAATAATCAGGCGCTACACCTCCCATAGGATTCCACTAACATTGGCTCATGAAATTGTCTCATGTAAAGGTCCTACTCTTGCATTTAGTCAAAAGGGCACATCTCCCTAAATCTCTCCATACATGACAATAAAATTTATAGATTTTACATGATAAAAACGTATGCACTCTTTTTGCGATAGATTCCGGTAAACAGTAGAAATATTTCTTATAAAACTTTATCTCATGGATTAAATCATCCCATTATCATGATATGCGTGTTGAACTTCGTCACCAATAGGCCTTTGGCATGAAACGGTCACATGGTACAAAATCCTCCATACTGGATATGTGACCCGCGGTTTCATGCATAAGGCCTATTAAGGCCGATTTAGACGGCATAACTTTTGGCTACAAACATCCCATGCAACCTGTGTAAGTCATCCTTGCGTCGGGGCTACAACTGTCGTAGGGATTTAAAACAATTGCTTAAGGACGTTCATTGGCATTGGATTCCGTGATGTCAATTCGATGAAATTTTTTGGGGAAATACGCGATGACATCTTGCAAAAAAGCGATAAAAAAGTGGAGGTCACCGGCTTCATTTTAGAGATAATTCTTGCACAAAATCACCAAAATTGTCAAAGAAAAGCGCGCGAAAAGGGGTCGATGCCGTCTACCAAAAAACTTCCCGAAAAATATAAAACACATATCAATTGATCCAAATTTTTCCACAAAAGCTGAGGGCGATAATTGTTAATATTGTTTACGAGACTTTGAAACATTACATGATGTGATTTTTGATTTCTTTAGGACTTTTGTTCGTGTAAGGCCKCCACATTCGWCDYCAAGAATAGGTGTCATTTCCAGCTAAAACTGCTATATTTCAGAAACCTCTGTCGTCGTTTTTTCCGCTTTCACATATGTTATATTTTTTCCAAGGAGCCTTCTTTTAAGATAAATAGAAATTGGGTTTACCGGGTTCGTTGTCGAAATATTTCGTGTCGAAATCTTAGATTTTGAAGGCCATCTTGAACTTGCGAGAGACCTTTTTCTGCCAATCTACGACTTTTTAGAGCATTTTCAACACTTTTTCGCCTCATCAATTCTTTADMAGTAGTAMATCTCTCATTTTTTGAACACGAAGACATTTTTCATTCAAGTAGAAGTTCAGAAAAGTACGTACAAAACCTCATAAACACATAACAAGAGCGGTCTCCATCTTTGTTTTGCGTGATGTAATTTCGTGACAACTTCCGGTTTGGGCGTGCGCAGAAAGCGTGCGCAGTAGCAATGCCCTCGAACGTCCTTAATAGCCCCATGACAGTTGTAACATTAAGCAAAAGTCGTCTATCAGGATATTTGCGGTGGATCTAGAAGCCATCCCGTGGTTTCGCGGTATATCATTAATATTTGAAAATACTTTTAAGTAATTAAAATTACTTTAAAAATCAGTTATTTAGTAAGAGTTAGTTCATAAATTAAGATCAATAGAGATGTACGACATGATATTAATTTATTGTCGTGACATTTTTGGATATCAATGGTAAGTTTCATGCATCTAAATCTCACATCTCAGTCATAAATGCAAATGATCCCAACGATTTGCTAAGTGAAACGCCCCAATCCCCTACGAGAGTGCCTGATACTTAGGCTAGCCCGGCGGAGCGGGCTGATTTCTTTTGYTCTCAGCCCGTTGAACAGGGTCAGCCCGCTTCATCTAATCAGGCCTTCCGATTCGATGTATGACACGAACTAATTTACGTGAACCATAAACGCATAGAGGGGTCACTAAGAATATCTTAATCTATAAAATTTCTCTTCTTTAGTCTAGAGTTTGTCACACTGGATCGGTGTACTTGCTTGAGTTCTCGGAATGACGTGGCAAAAGTTGATTTGTTTGTTGACAGTTTTCTGAAAAATATGATAGGGCTAATAATATCAATTATCGAGTAAAATAAATATAGATAAAATTCATAACAAAAAGGTAGAGCACGATGTTGACTATAGTAATACTTAACAACTTTTTTATCCTCTGACATAAGACTGCGGCTAAATAAGGCCGCATTTACACCAATTCKATTATCTTTTTTAACTGCATACACCTGTTTCAAGAAACGTTGTTGGGGAGAACGCGACGGCGTAAGGTGATTGTATAGGTGAGATTGCACGACCGAAAGGGACTATGGTTACACTGTCTTGACAAACAAAATTTCACTTATGGATTAAAGTGCTACTTGCATGAAAACGGCCTTATTTCAAAACTTCAAGCAATACAAATATATGACTCATTTATATCTATTAAAAACAATTGCGTGAAAATATTTGTCTTGGAATTATCCCACATCAGAGAAATTTTGATTCAAAAGATGGAAGAACAAAGGGATTGAGTAGATGACGTCATCTACTCCAACATTTTTTRCCCAAATTACTAAGGATTTGCATGAATATTTTTTTGAAATCTGTTGCTTCATAATTATTACACCCATATGGATAGGTCTATTTGATTTCCAAGTCTTTCCTAATATTTCACAATTTTCGTCCAAGTAGCCCTTTAACATTGCATAGAAATGAGAGACTAAATGTAGTCAATCTTTACCACAGACTATCTAACAGYATAAATCTCGTAATAACGTCCATAGTGATGTTGTCATTGAGAAAGCATATAATTTATCAGTCCGAACATGAAATAATAGTGTAATATTCT